AATACCACTATGAACACTGATGTCTCAAATATCACTATGAAAACTGATACCAAATACCACTATGAACACTTGATGTCCTCAAATATCACTATGAACACTTGATACCAAATACCACTATGAACACTTGATGTCCCCAAATATCACTATGAACACTTGATACCAAATACCACTATGAACACTTGATGTCCCCAAATATCACTATGAACACTTGATACCAAATACACTATGAACACTTGATGTCCCCAAATATCACTATGAACACTTGATATCAAATACCACTATGAACACTTGATGTCCTCAAATATCACTATGAAAACTTGATATCCCCAAATACCACTATGAACACATGATGTCCCCAAATATCACTATGAACACTTGATACCAAATACCACTATGAACACTTGATGTCCTCAAATACCACTATGAACACTTGATGTCTCCAAATACCACCATGAACACTTGATGTCCCCAAATACCACTATGAACAATTGATGTCCCTAAATATTACTATGAACACTTGATATTCCCAAATGTCACTAAGAACATTTTTCCTTGCTGAATTTTCATGTAATGTATTTTTATTATTTCTAGTACATCCTTGGACCCTACCAACTCAGAAATGGCTGTCTTATCTGTTGGTGATCTGCGGAAACTTTTCAGCCAGCAAGTGCAACCAGATGAGAACACTGATGATGTGCAACCAGATGAGAACACTGATGATGTGCACCCTGACGAGTCAGCACATTGAATCTGCCTATGAGATTGAAATTTATAATTTGCCTCATTAATACATTTCAGGTTTATTCACCATGAAAACAAACAGTGTTTTGATTTGAACACTACCTGGTATAGGTGGGGGGGGGGGGGGTCAATATCTTATTCATATATTGCAGCCAACAATTATGATTTTGTTTTGACGCTCCACTTTCTTAATAGAAGCATTACTTTACATCATAATTCCAGGACTGTTAGTAAATTTATTATTGGTTAGCTGTCCAATCAGACATGATTGTAGCAGAATGGATAGTGTGTCCACACTTCATCTGGAAGATTGTGATATCCTGTCAGAACGTAAAGTAGGATAGTCGAAATCTGTTATACTAATCGGCTAATAAAAAATAAATAAGGATGGAATACATGTAAATTTCTCTCCACTTTAATCATATTGTTATTGATTATGTTGCAGTAA